TTGTATACAATGTTATTTTTCCAAAGCTACAGCAATACTTTTCAAATAAGGAAGTATTTTTCTAGTAAAGTTTCAACGCGATCTAATCTGTTAAGGTTTACAGTCAGATGAAACAGATTTGCTTAACACCAGTTTTGGCGGACAACCTATGAGATCGATGTTTTTATGTTTAAATTAAAATCTTTTATTCATTTCTTAATTAAAACAAATCTCCTTTCAAACACCCTCGCCCGTAAACACCAACGAAAGTGCCGAAAAAAGTCTTGAAATACAGTCATGCTGCAACAGACAAAAAGTAGAATCAACAAGCAAGAACAAACTTACGAAAGTAAGGCAGCATGGCTTCTTATGTGAAATATTCAAATGTAAATAAATAAACACTGATAAACGATATGTTTATACTTTTCAAACGTATAAAAAATACTTTTCTCAGCAGCAGGATAAAAAGAATTTTAAAATAAATCTAAGCACTGCAATATTTTTATTAAAGCTTACAAATATTCCTTTATTTATTATATTTCATTTTTCATGCTTATCCATTTATTTTTACAAAATTATTTACATCTATTTCTGGGAGCGCGGAACAACTGTTGAATCCGAAGCAAGATTCACAACGACCTTGCATCTCCGACAAGTGGGCAAACGACAAACAGCAGGTGGGCAGCGTCAGGCCTTGTAGTTGACCTGTAATTTCTTTGAGTAGCTCTATTTTGGTTCCAGGGTCGATGCCGTTAACGGGGTATTTTTAACGCTTTATGTATACAAAGAATAAGTTTCAACAGTTTCGTGATGAATTTGCAATGGAGAGGCGCATGTGATTTCAACGACTATACATTTGTTGGCAGTTTAGTCACGTAACAACGGAAGCCATGTCTGACAGTTCTTTATTGTTTCTTTCCGCTGACTTAATCTTCCTTTTTGTCTGTCTCACTGCGACTGCTTCCAAGATGTTTCCTTCACATCAACTTGCTTCCATGCAGACGATGCTGCTTGCATCCCGTGTGTGTGTCTATATGTATGTATGTATGTATGTATGTATGTATGTATGTATGTATGTATGTATGTATGTATGTATG